TTAGGTAGCCAGGATTTGATCCATAGACCTGTAGAGTAGAAGTCCAGCTGCAGTCCTTCTAGAAGGATTGGCAAGTGGTCAAGTGGTGTGACTAAAGCAAGCCCATGTTGGAGACGAGGACAAGTGGCAAGGGCAAATAGTAGGACCCGAGTGCAACTGCACTGCGTCGTAGGGTTGTCACTATGCAGTCGTGGGAAAGTCTAGAAAGTACCAGTCCGGTCCAGCAAGTACCACGGGGGGGGACTGTGTGCGTCATGGGCCAGGGATACAAGGCAGACCAATGCAACACAGAAGTATAAATCAAGAGGCTGCGTCCAGCCATTCATTCATTCCTGCGGAAGCTCTGCGGAAGCGCTGCTCGGGCGTCTTGTGCAAGGGAGGTCTGCAGATGGCCTGAAGACGAAGTGGGCAGAAGTTAGTGATAGGCTAGTTAGCTGTTAGTGGCCATGCGCCATAGCCATAGACAGTTAGTGAGTGTGTATGTGTGTGTGCAGTGGTTGGCGTGCATGGTATCCAGGGTGATCCAGAGTCGAGTTGCGTGTGAACTCTAAGTCGAACGTGTAAGTGTGGGCGCCCAGCGCCATAGCCAACTGAAGTAAACTTGGATTTGAGTTGAGTTGCAAGCTACCATATCTCCGAGTTTGAGTTGGGTGCACAGCGCCAAGTTATTCTCATCTGTTGCATGCATGTTTGAGTGTGAATTTGCAAGACTGATTTCAGAACTGAAGACCGACCAAATGCAGACTCTGAGTAATTGTGGAGATCCAACAAAACACTGGCCCAGGGTATTAGTGTCCACTGCTGGTGATGGGGCTATGGACAGCCGAGGGAGTTTTCTTGAGGTTAGCTGAAAGTTCCTAGAACCGTGTTCACCCGAATAGAGCGCCCGGTCATTATAGCTGTATTTGGCGCAACTTTCTGTCCAGATGCAGCGATAATGACCTTCCAACTTCATATTCGTCCTTGATGTATCTAGACAGCAATCATAAATCAATACATCTGGCATATGAAGATGAGAAAATCTGGAAACTACCAAGGCAGTCGAGATGGCATGGTAAGGTACGTGTGAAGTTCTAGAATTAAAAAAAAAAAAAAAAAAAAAAGAGAGTTGTCAGTCAGGCCAGTCAGGCCAGTCAGGCCAGTCAGGCCATTATCTTCTTCTTCTTCTTTTTTTTTTTTTTTTTTTTTGGTCAGGGAATTCTCCTGACTAACGGCCATTGGAAAGAAAAAAAACAAACAAAGCAGTAGGACTGCCCTGTTTTTTTGCATCCTTTGTCCCATGGCACCATGACCCTCTTTCTTTTTTTTTTTTTTTTTTTTTTTCAATAACAATGCAACAGGGAAATACAGCAAATACTGGGTCCTTTGGGACATCTGCTAAAATTGGAACGATACAGAGAATGAAGACCAGCATGGCCCCTGCGCAAGGATGACACGCATAATGTGGAGGAAGTTAGCAAGGGCTGAGTGTACATGGCCCAGGCTTGCCGAGAGGCCATCATGCAAGTTATATGGAAATCAGGAACCATAGAGTCTTCCTTTCCACGTTCTATTCGGATCTCAGTATCATGAACATGGTTCTGAATGGTATACCTTCGCCGATTTGCGTGGACTGGAGGAGAGCAAGGAATGCTTTGAGCAAAAGAGCGGCGAGGGACCGTTTCTTTCTTCAGAACATGGGGACAGATTGTCACGATGATCAGGACCAAGGCTGCAGGCATTATCATTGAACCATGGCTGATGGGCCCCAGGCCTCCGTGACTACCGTCTTCCCCCGAACACAACGCACCCTCATTATGGCTGCGTTATATTCCAGGGAAGACGGTAGGCAGAATTCATAATCAGTCAAATTGACAGCAGTACGTGCTCTGCTCTTTAAACTCTTGGTCTCTACTGGAATGTCATTTCTTGTTCGCACCTCAGCGATCATTTAGGATACCTGGATTTGGAAGCAGGTGTTTGCAATTGCATTTCGAACTGCGTTTTAGCAGTTTAGACAGGGCCCAAGTTTCAATTCCAGTTGAAACTCCGGCTGGCTTTTTCTAGCATTTCAGTCAGGCACATGGCTGGTTTTTTTTTTTTTTTTTTCCGGCCAACCCCCCCCCCGCGCTGAAAAAAAAAAAAAAAAAAAAAAAAAAAAAAAAAAAAAAAAAAAAAAAAAAAAAAAAAAAAACCAGCCCCATGGTTGGGCCACGGCCAAGATGTCTCGGCCACATCCGTCTCAGCCACACCCCAGACTGGGCACAGCCGAGATGTCTCGGCCATACCCCAGATTGGCCACGGCCAAGATGTCTCGGCCACAACCCAGATTGGCCATGGCCCAGATGTCGCGTGGCGGGGAGTGGCGGGGCCGCCCTACACAATTCAGAATGAAGCCAAAGAAGATAAAGGAAAGAAAAAGAGAAAAAAAAAAAAGAAAAGAAACCAGGAACTATTATGAATCACGAAGGTGGAAGTTACACCAGGGCTAGCCCGCAAAGGAGAGGAAGACAGGTTGCGGACTTCGTGGATTGGGCGTGCTCACCTGTCGTGGCCCGTGTTAGGGTCTGTGTGTGTGTGTGTGTGTGTGAGAGAGAGAGAGAGAGAGAGAGAGAGGGAGTTGTACATAGTGGATCTTTTGTGTAGGATTGTTGTTGTTGGTTAGGTGTGAGTTTTGGTTTTGGTTATGGAAATTTGCCACGAATAGGTACAGCGTTTTGCATGCGATAGAATGAAAGAGAGAGTTCCGCTCTGTAGAAACGTCACTATGGTGGGCAGTGGGGTTTCCTTGTGAGAAGGTGCAGATTAGAGGAATGCGGTTTTCCCTAAATCGCGAGGAGGTGGGTGGGTTTGCGGGGTCTTTGACCCCTGCCGTGCGGGAGGCAGGGATTACCGCTGAGACGTGGAATTTGGGTCAGATATTCATTCCATCCAAATAGGCTGCTGTTTGCTGTCATCTGAAGTCTTAAGGAGAAGTGGTGAGCATTGCTCCACAGGGGCTTTGCCATCGGGGGAGGGGAAGCATCCGTAGGGGGTATATGCAGATTGAGGGAGAGGCTTACCCTAAATCACGAGGAGGTGGGTGGGTTTCGCGGGGCTTTTTAGCCCCTGCCGCGCGGGAGCCTTAGGGTAATCCTCTGGTTTGTGAAAACCGCATCGTGGTGGGAGTTGGTGTTTTCATAAAGAAGAGTGCGGGGAGGTGCCATCCGTTTTGAATCGCGAGGAGGTGGGTGGATTTGCGGGGTCTCTGTCAGCAGTTGGGGGCCTGAGGGCAAAACCCCCTGCCGCACGGGTGGTAGGGCGGATTGGCAGGGGTTGGTAACAACTCCGGATGAATGGTAGACATGATCACGCAGGGCTGATCGCTCGGTTCTAATTAGTGGTTTTGATTCGTTTTTTTTTTTTTTTTTTTTTTTTAGGTGACTAACTTAGGGTTGACATGACTATTGTGATTACACTTTTTTTTTTTGTGATGAGTTTTAGATTTTCTTAGTATTTTCATTCCTCGGGGATAATTTAGATTGTGATGATAATTTTTGTTGACTTTTTGAGTTGTTGGGTTTGTGAAATTGACAGGGGTTAAATCTAGTGGTGTCCTCTATGTGTTTGGCCGATGATGCCTTGCCCACGGAGTGCCCCACATAATTTTGTAAGGGACGTCGGGCCCGGTTCCTGGCTTTTATAAAGACATTGTTCATTTAAAAAAAAAAAAAAAAAAAAAAAGTTACACCAGTGCTTTGAGGAATGTATCTGGCCAGTATGTGAGGACGGTGAGACAAGACATGTCTTTTTCTTTGTTTGCTTTTTGTTGTGAGGTCATTGTAATGCCCTGCCAGCCGGACAGGGCGGATTCCACGCGAGGCAGCTAACTGCCTGGCTTCATTCAGTTCCAGACAAGTACTGTAGCATCCTGTATCGGACCCCAATCACAGCATTAGGGATGCTTTTGCTTTTTTTTTTTTTTTATCCGCTGTTCGTGGATAGAAGAGGGACCTGACTGAACTTCTACCTAAAGGTGAAACTCGGCCTCTGACTAAAGTGTGAAACTAGTGTTTCGAATGCAATTACAAACTATTTTTGTGACCGCGCGGAAGTTACCCCAAAAAAATAAAACTGGATTGTTTGGTCTTTTAGAAGCAGGGTGTTTCTTTTTTTTTTTTTTTTTTTAAGAATGGGCCCAGTGCCGAAGGCTCCAATTATGAAATTGATTACAACACTTATACGCACGCCTCTTCCCATTAGGGCTGGAAGAGCCTCAGGCACTACTCCCCTGGGCTGTGGTCCCATTAGCAAAGAGCATCGGATTGAATGCCTGAATCTGGACGTGTTTGAGGACAGGAGCAGGAAATAGAGATAGAACTGTTTTTCTGTATCTCTGCATAAAACATAGCCAGATTCAGGATTTCTATCCTATCCCCTTCGCTAGTGGGACCACGGCCCTGGAGACAGCATCCCTGCATAACACAAATGTAGCACAGCCGCCGCACAGTGATTGCTTCCCCAGTGAGGAAGGATTAACCCCGTTGTGGTGATGTGCTAGCACTAGCGCCCTGGCGCCTGGCGGCCCGGCAAGGCCCGGTTCCCCAGGCTCGACCAGCGCCTGAGGAGGTATGCTCCTCGGATGCTGGGCCTGTGCGCGCCCCCATCATATGCAGGTGGCTGTTTGATTGGCCACGTGGCGTCTGCTGTTGGCGGCGTGGCTGTCCATGACGCGTGGACAGGGGTGCCGCCAGCAGAGAGTGAAGAAGATGATAAACATGGCGGTGCAGCACTTCGGAAACATGATGGAGTGGGTTGGGGAGCTGCAATATGGAGATAGCTTTCTTTACACAGAGACGTTCGATACTGATGATGACGCCTGGCATAGAGAGGACGATGGGCATGATGAGGTGGACGTGGTCAACTACTTCGGCGGTAACTTCGCAAACCTTTGCGCAGTCCACGTGGATGAGGGGAGTGGTGACGATGAGCAGGAAGAAGAAGACGTTGTCAATGGCGAAACAGGCGAGCTAGAGGACGATGACGTCGTCGGCTACTTTGCAACCATCAATTCGGTGTGTGGGAAGCACGCATCAGAATGGGATTATCAACGCAGTGAGTGGGAATATGGCCTTAGTGTAGTGGGAGGGTGGGACGTGGAGTGGGGGCAGAAGGCAATTGCGACACTACCGGCGACGGCAATATGATGTCAGCAAGAGTGGGATGGGTGTGCAGGGCGAGAGCGACATTAACAACACTGATAAGGACGACGAAGACAACAACAACATCAACAACAACGCCGACACCGACGTGGATGACGGTGGAGACTATGGCAGCAGTGGGGCAGCACGCAGTGAGGGTGTCAGCATCAACAACAACTACAACAACAACAACAACAACAACAACAACAACAACAGCAACAATGACAACAACAACACCAACAACAACAACGACAACAACAACAACAACAATAACAACGATGAAGAAGCCACACGCTTGCAATGGGTGGATCGCGGTGAGATTGGGGTTGTTGGGCGATTGGCACAGGCGCAGGTAAACAACAACAACGATAAAGACGGCGAGTAGGGAATGGGCGAAATGGGTGAGGAGGTTGTGAAGGATGACAATGACAACAACAACAACAGCAACAACAACGACAACAACAACAACAACAACAACAACAACAACAACAACAACAACAACAATAACAGCTGTAACGACAACAACAATATCAACAGTCATGATGACGGCCATGGCGACAACCACGGGAGCAGTGGGCCAGAGAGGGGAGCTGATGCATCTAACTTCGGCATCATGGGGAAGATGCTGCCACCAGTGCACGGGGGGAGAACCTGCTGCTTATCATGGTTGGCGATTTGGGGTTTGAGATCGAAGTTACGACTGACCGTTTCTTCCCACCTCTGCCTGTTGTTTAACCATGATGAGTTGTTTTCTCGTTTCTGGCACCGGGTGGGGATAGGATAGGCAATTTCCCTGCGATGATTGGGGTTGATTAGGGATTGATCCCCTCTTATCTATCTAACCCTCAATTCCTAATCCTGATACGTCTGATGATGAGTGTTGGTGAACATATCTGTGAAAGGATATATTAATACATCATTGGGTGGGATATGTGCTTCGTTCGATTACTGCTGATTGTCGATCGTCCCCCAAGGGGATGTAGATATGATGATACTTCATGGGCATGAGGTCAATCCTTCCCTGTCACAGGAAAGTTATCAATGCCTCTGCTCATTTCGGAAATATAAGTTGAAATATGGAAAACATACACACATCGACTTGACTGAGAAAGTTTATATCATTCATACCACATCAGTGTTAGGGCTTCGTCTTCAAAGTTTGATAGTTACAGGACAAATACTTCATATACATCACATACATCGCCTATACATTTCACATGCCAGTCTAGCTCAGATCTAGGTTAGGGTTCGTGGAGTTGCATAGGGGGCTGGACCCGGTTTCCAGTAGATACTTCGACATCACTATACATGGCCGTTGGACCCGATTTTGCAGCAGATACACTTCTATAATTATACAGGGATGCTGGACCCGATTTCCAGCAGGTGTAGCTCCCCACCAATAGATGGATCCTTCAACGCGGGGACCTACTTACCGAGGATGCTCTTATCACCTCGTTAAATAGGTTTCCCGTACAACGAAGTTTCACAAAAAAAAAGAAGAAAAAAAAAAAAAAAAGGATTAACCCCGTGTGCTGAATCAATCTCTGCCCTACGAAACTCCTCAATTATCCCTATTTCAATCTTCTACACGGTGAGGAGTAGGGGAGATATCAGTAAGGCACAAAGATTGATAACAGGGCAAGAAAGTTTAGTAGTTCGTTAGAATTACGACGGGCTTCCCCTAAACAGCAGTAGTTAACACAGACACAGACCAAAGGGGGAGCAGTGGAGCACAATAGGGGGAAGAAAATTGTAGTCTATACGTAAAGACCATCCAACCAAATCAAGCCCTGACCTATGATAACCAATTTTACTATTACAATCTCTTATCTAAGGTTGCCCGCACCAACAGGACACCAATCAATCACATAAGCATTCTGGATGCCTAATACCACTGCACCTCCTGTCCTGCCACGTAGCAGGACACCAATCAATCACATATCAATGAACTACCATATGAGCAAACCCTACTGGCCCTGTTGCCACGTGGCTAAAGACATATGCGGTAAAGCCAACCAACCACGGACAACCCTATCCGACCTGGCAATCTGGCATTCGTTATCCTACCCCTTCGCTCCAGCATCCCACTCCTTGCTCCCCCGCACACCCTTCCACTTTACAGACCAATCCATTCGACTGACCCACTTGCCCTTCCCCCCAATCAACAACGGAAGACCGGAAGAAAGAAAACAAGAAGGGGGGGGGGAGAGAATGCCCAGTCACACTTACCACACCGTCAATGTTGTTGTTGTTATTGTCGTTGTTGTTGTTGTTGTTGTTGTTGTTGTTGTCACTCCCGGATGCGCACGAGTTCAAGATCACTCCTTCCATGTCACTGTTGTCAGTGTCGTGCACAATATTATTGTTGTTGGTGTAGTTGTTGTTGTTGCTGTTGGTGGCCTGTGCATATGTCAGCGTCTTAGTCGCAGGCACTATTGTTATGATTGATGTCGCTGATGAGCTTGATGTCATCGTCGTTTGCGCCATCTCTGTTGTTGAACGCCCCAAGTCGTATGTACTCATCGTGGCAGGCACAGGGGCAATGATCGTTGATGTAGGTGATGAAAACGTGGTTGCACGTGTCGGTGAGATTATTGGAGCTGGTGCTGCTGGCGCGACCGTGTGTGTGTGTGTGTGTGTGTGTGTGTGTGTGTGAGAGAGAGAGAGAGAGAGAGAGAGAGAGAGAGAGAGAGAGAGAGAGAGAGAGAGAGAGAGAGAGAGAGAGAGAGAGAGAGAGGGGATGAATGGCATGGCTAAGTTCCAGCAAATTTTTGATCAGACAGCAATCAGAATGGGAAGAGTGTTGCGATGAACCAGTCTGTATTTGAATGGAAGACTCTTCTGAAGTAAGGCAGGTAAAGTACACAGAGTGTGATTGAGCTCATTGGAGATTAGTGAGCATTGGTCTTTGCTCACCTTCACAGAGTAGATGGTATAGAAGAGGGGTTGATAATCTTCTGTTTCTCCCGTCAGTACGGATGTGAAGGATAGTCCTGCGTCGGATTTGGCTACTATCTGTGTTGTTTAATGTTGATGTAACTTGTGAGGCGGTACATAGTTGCGTAGAACAGACTAGATGAGGTATGGACCTAACAGAGGGAAGATCTTGCTGAGAGTGGGCAGTTAGAGGCATAGCGTTGAGGCTTAGCATTGAGGCTTACCCGTTAAAAGTTTTCTGCTGCCCCTTGGTTGGAGAATAAGTATGGATTGCAGCACGTGCTTGTACTTTGATCTGTATGTATATGGGATGCTGGACCTGTTTTCCAGCACGTGCTGCTCCCCACGAATAGATGGAGCCATGAATTGATTGTTAAAAAAAAAAAAAAAAAAAAAAGTTGTTGAGTTTTTTTTTCTACATAACATAGTTTGTTTTCGGATTGTTTGAATTTTTTTATTTTTTTTTGGCGTGGACCTTCCCTGGTCCTTGCACGGCCCGTCCTCCTGGGAAAATAGGGTGACCCGGGCGTCCCAGCTGGTAGCCTAGTATATATATATATATATTGTTTTTGTAACAAATATTTCTGAATTACCCCGTAAGCTAGATGAAGATATCTCAAGCCAGTCGCCTTTTTTTAAAGAATTATTAAAAAAAAAAGAAAAAAAGAAATGCATTGTAGAAAAATTCATGCATTGTGGACGAGTTGGTTAAACCAGGATGAATCTGACCGAATTCACGTCTAGAAACGAAAAGAAAAGTAAAGAAAGTCCTCGCGACGGTGTGCCCTGCTTCTCGGAATTTGGGTCTCGTTAGACACTCCTAAAAGAATCCTAAAATCTTTAGGACGAGTCCTAAAGGATTTTTAGGATTTTGTGCGGCATCTTTACATGCAATCCTAAAAATCATCTTTTAGGATTCGTCCTAAAAGGTCTCCCGCGGCCGGTTTTCATATGCGTATACGCAGGCGCGTCGCCAATGTCCATCCATTCCTGCCAATGTCCGTCCAATCCCCGCCAACGGCTACCATTCGTGGTCGTTGCCCACCGCAGAAAACCTCCGATGTCCGATCACTGACCGGACGGACCGCTTCTGCACCAGCAACTCCGTGTCGACAGGGCCATGCGCATGACGCAACGAGTCCGTGAAATGCGGGAATCCTAAATTTTTCAGTAAGTCGGGGGCTACTGGAAAATTTAGGACGATTTTGCCTGGGGAATCCTAAATCCTTTAGGACTAGTCCTAACACTGTTTTCACATTTTTGATCTCAAAATTGGATTTAGGATTGGGTGCAACCAAGACGCAATCCAAAAAACAGGCACTTTTAGGAGTGTCTAAAGAGACCCTTTTTCCGCAATCACAGTCAAATTGCCTCTAACTGAACCAACTGACTAATGAGACTACCTTCTTTCCCCCCAATACACGGTATTTGAGGCATGTTTCAGTCTAGCAGTATTTGAGGCATGTTTCAGTCTAGATACAGCTCGGTTTGGGGGAAGAAGGTAGCTCAGGCGGTGCAGCCACGAACTGTTTTTTTTTTTCTTTTTTTTTTTTTCTTTTTTTTTTAAGCCACGAACTGTTGAAGTACAGACAGAAGCTCGGGAAAAAAAAAAAGAAGAAACAGACAGAAGCTCGGGAAAAAAAAAAAAGAAGAAACAGACAGAAGCTCGGGAAAAAAAAAGAAAAGAAAAAAAAGAAAAAAGAAACGACAGTCTGAACGTTTATCATGTATGTATGGATGTATGTGGAATGTCTTCTGTTACATTCAGCGCATTGCCACACGACTCTAGAAATGTGCAAAATGAGAATGAACCTCCCTCTAGAACAGGGCTAGATCTTTGTCCCTTTCACATTTGGAGAGTGGTGTGCTGAAGCCCTCGAGCATACTCACACAAGTGTAATCTTGCATGTATGTGACGGTAATTACGGCACTACTTGGATGTATCTGACAGCAATTCCATCCACAAATAAACTCCATTTTTTGAATGTAACACAATCATGCACATTACATTCCGACTGCTCCAACATCTTGAGTGTATCGGGACTGTTACATCGTCCAGAAACAATGGGGCTGACTCCGCCGGTCACCACATTTGCGAAACGGGAATGAATTATCCCGTAGAATATGGAAAGATACACCTCCATATTTCTTGTCTTTTGCGCATCTCGTGAGTAGCAGACCGAGCCCCTTCGCTTCATATCCGTGTATGATCTTTCCGCCAGTGGGGCGGTAACCGTCTGTGCAGACGTGCGTGCGTGCCTCTGTGTGTCGGTGTGTGTGCGTGAGAGAGAGAGAGAGAGAGAGAGAGAGAGAGAGAGAGAGAGAGACAGACAGACGGAGGGAGAGAGAGCGAGAAAGAGTGGTGGTAGGAAAGCCGCATGGGCCGTTTGAATTGAAAAGAAAAGGAAAGAAAAAAGGAAAAAGCTAAAGAAACGACAGAAACCCTCCGGAGGGATATATAATTGCCCGCCTCCCGCGCAAGGCCTGCGCGTTCTTGCGCCCGTCTGCGCCGGCACTTCCGCCATCACCGTGATTTCTCCAGCCCTGCGCTTACCCCTGGGTCGCCCCGGCCGCCCCCCGGCACCCTCGTGGCCACGTCATCTCCCTGCTGCTTGTACATAAGGAAAAAGTCAAATTTTCGGTTTTTCTTTTTTTTTTTAACCCAAAAATCAAATGGGCAGTACAGGGGGGCCCTAACAGGGGGCCCCTGAGGTGCGCTTCATACACACCCCCGTTCGGAACGAAGCGGAGCGGAACGGACCAGCGT